TGTTTTGTACATTTGCAGAACATTTATGACTCAGAAATGACATGATATATTATGCAAGTCTAGATTGTCATTTTTTGGACCACAATTAAATTCTCCCAGCTTAAATGTCAGGCTAAATATGTCCTAATGTTTGTTGATTTTCAGAGACAGATGGAAAAAAGACTAATTTTATCCCCAGTTATAACTCTAAGGGACAGTAACTCAAGGTATTTCATGACTTAAAAGTTGGCTAGAAACATGTGGGATAAGGATTTCCTTTTGAGAACTTTCATGTGGGGAAAAATCTACCCAAACTTTCTAATTTTAATATAGTCTTATTCTGAGCTCTTAAAAAATGTGTTTAGTTAAATAAAATTTCACAGAAGTCATTGAGATCTTGTTGTAATAAATTGAATGATTGTATATGAAATCTAAAGCCTCCTACTGCAAGAACCCCAAATCAGCTGACTATTGAATTACAGACTGAAATGATGCTCCTGCCTCATAACATGAGTCTCTTTTTCAAGCAGCTACAGAACTTTTGATTTAGCTCACTTTTAAATACACAACATCTTTCAAACTGTTAACACAATAGTAATAATAATAAAGGGCCAAGAAAAATAAGATACTCTCCATGTTAGAAACTGCCAAAAATGGCCTGTCACTCAGTGATAATGAGTTTGAAGGATTCCAGCCCCTTCCTTCTTAAAAAATATAATAAATAAAAAGCTATGATGCCACAGAACTTAGAATAAATTCTCCCTTGCCTTTGGTGATAGTATTATCTATATCCCTATCAGATGTAAAATATAAGTGACCATTAGAATACTGACTCATCTCTATCTGGCAGCTAGTTGGAACTTATGGCATTGCAGTAGCTTATTACCCTTCCAGACAGGCAATTAGTCAATAAACATCTATTAAGCATCTACTATGTGCCAGGCATTGGGCTAAGTGCTCAGGCTACAAAGAAAGGTACAAAATAGTACTTGTCTAATGAGGGAGGCAGCATGCAAAAAAAGCTGTGTACAAATAAGCTATATGTAGAATGAATTGGAATAATCAACAGAAAAAGGGAACTAGAATTAAGAGGGAGCAGGAAAGGCTTTGTGTGGAAGGTATAATTTGGTCTTGAAGGAAGACAGGGAAATGAGACAGAGATCAGGAGAAAAAACATTACAGGCATGGAGCACAGACAGAGAAAATGCCTGAAACTTGGAACACAAAGTGTCTTGTTTGAAGAACATTAAGGAGTCCAATGTCAATGGATGAAAAAAAAAAGTATGAAAAACAAAAGTGTCCCCAAAGTCTTAATGCGTTTTTAGCAGTAAAACTTTTGGGATACCCTTTCTAAATATGCTGTAATGAAAAGAACTTTGGATCTGGAGTCAGGAGACCTGGTTTCAAATTTCAGCTCTCATACTTAAAAGTTGTATGACCTTTGGAAAGTTGCTTCTCTTAGCATCAGCTTCCTTCTATGTAAAAAGAGGGGGTTAGATTATTTGGTCTCTAAAGTCCCTACCATCTGTAAAATTAAAATCCAGTGTCAGCTATTGCTTTTACATTCATTCTGACATGTCAGCCTTAGAACTAATGAAAGTATTTCATGAGTGATGCTGACTTCTGTAATCTTATTGTGAACAAAACTTCGGTGCCCTTTCTAATTTTTTTTTATTTTATTAGATTAAGCCACAATGCAGGGTGTGCAGCTTTCATATATAGAGCATTAAAAAGACAAAAGTTGAACTAAAACAATGCTTGTTATAGAAATATTTCAAAACACAATAAAATGAACTCCAGACATGATCTCATCTCTTTGCCCTTCTATCTTAGTTTACATTTTCAGGTCCCACTTCAACAGAGCTAATAATAGGAAGTCATGAACTTTGGACAAAGAGTCAAAGTGAAAAACTTCAATCTTTTTTTTTTCTATATGACAACACATGGGGCTAAATAATACCTGGAATCAGGAAGATGTGTGTTCAAATCCCACCTCTAACACTTAATTACAAATTTATACTGACCAAATCACTTAGTAACTATGAACCTCAAGCAATTTCTTATGATTTCTCTATGAAGTCATAGATAGTTATGATATCCTTTGTGGAGTCTCTTAAGTTGATCATTTCATATTATGATAAAATTATTGGTTTAATTTTCTGAACTTTATTGATTCTTTTAAAATGAGTTTACCAAATGTTCTACCTAACATAATGTTATAATGTCTGGTTATGAATATACAATGTTAACTGATAACTAACCCATAATTCCTCTCCCACAAAACACAGCAATAGATTTTCTAAAGTAAGCAAATTTTCCATCGCCACCACATAGAGTTGAAATTTATCTGTACTGACTTTGGAGAAGATATATCAAAAACAATTGCCATGGAAAGGGAATATTTTTGACTTTGACAACATATTCTGCTTTCATGAAAGGGCATTATACTCAGAAAATTTAAATTCTCATCCTGGCTCTGACTTCCTTCTAATTCTTCACTATGTGCTCTTAGATACTTTTCAGGGTGTATTAGTGCAAAGAGCTATATATTTAGAGAGAGAAAATATTGGCTCCAGTATTAGCTGACTATTCACTAGTTGTATGTACTTGGACAAATCATTTCAACCTAATGATCCTCACTTTCTTTCAAAATGGGGATAATAATGCCAGTATTGCCATCCTCCCAAGATCGTGGTAAGAAAAATACCACATAAACCTAAATAAGCTATAGAAATGTGACTTCTAATGAACAAAGTATAGGACTGAGAGTAAGAAAACCTAAGGTCAGATTCCACATTCATCCCCAACTAGTTATGTCAACTACTTTCACTGAGTATGTTTCTCATTAGTAAAATGGGGACTATAGACTGAATGAGCCATGTCCTGATTAGAGATTCCAATGAAGTGGTCATATAAATTTGAATTCACACTTTTGGAAGGTATAAATATGTAAATATGGTAACTGGCCGCAGACCATTGCAGTGAAAATTCAAATAAGGTGACCATTTCATGGGATTCATTATTTTAATTAATCAGGACTTAGTTTTATCATATTACTTCTGACTCATTGAGGCCCAATTAACTTAAATGTAAAACAATAAATAGGTGTTTCTTCTCACTTCACAAAGCCTCTATGAAAATAAACAAAAACAACATGTTAAGTTGCCTTTGTTGAATCCATTGCACTATAAAAGTATGTTTTATTTTTGTTACATCACTGATTTATATCCAGAAGGGACCTTAAAGATCATTCAGTCCAACATTTTTCTTTTACAGATGAGGAAAATGAGGTCCAAAGATGTGAGATGATCTATTCAAAGTCATAGTAGGTACTGCAGTAAAAACTTGATTTTCTTATATACCAATAGCTCAGAATCTTCTACTCAATCACATTGTCAGCAAAAGGTCAAAATTCCCATTATAATTTAAGTAATTGAAAAATGCAAGATGAAGAAAATATGGAATTGAAAACATATGTCCTTCAAATTCAGAAGTCCAAAGATATGAGATATGAAGAGAATAATTTAATATTGAGAAAAATCATATTTATATTTTTTACTCAACTTCATTTACCTGTAAAATGATGGGGTCAGACTAGATGATCTAAAAGTACTTCCTGGGGATGGTTTCAGATATACTTGGGAAGACATACTTTTTAATACAGAGTGAAGTGAGCAGAAGCAGGAAAACAGTTTATAAAATAACAATAGCATTGTAAATACAAACAATTTGAAAATATCTAAAAACTCTCTTCAAAATAATGAGTAAACATGTTTCCAGAAGACTGGGTATAAAACATGCTATCTACCTACTGAGAGAGGCATAATGGACTCAGGATGCAGAATGAGACACATATTTTCAGACACAGAAAATGAGGTAATTTGTTATGCTTGACTGTGAATTTTTGTTACAAGGTTTTATTTTGTTTTTTTCTTTCTCTCATTGCTCTTTAGAGGATGATTGAGAGCGAAAATGGATTTTTGTTAATTAAAAGATACAATTAAACCAAAAACACAAAAGTATCTACTGGATCTAAATTTAAATCGTTATATAAAAAAGTGAAATCAATTCTAGTGCATAAATTTCTATTCCATAATACATTAATAAATTTTTTATCTTAAAAGAAAACCCGGCTTTTGCCCAAGTGAATTTTTATTATAGAAATAGTTTTGATATGTTCAAAAGTTATGGATATCAATTTTTTTCCTGTAGAAATTCTTATTTTAAGTTATTTAAAAAACAATTATAATTAGTATAGGCAAGAGTACTTAAATGTTTTCTGGTTGCTGTAAAATTTTAAAAAAGGTATAATTAATACTCGTTGTTGCTCCTCTTTTTGTTATTTCTTATAAAATGTTGTTTTTGTTATTTCTATATAATATAAATATTATTTCTATATAATATATAATACATAAATACATGTATACACACATATGTGTACAAATGATCTATGATCTCATAGAAAAAAAGGCAATTGACCTTTGCCCACCCGCCCAGTGTAACTTCCATCCATTTTGTGGAAGTATAGCAAGAACTGTAAGGAAGGACAATATATGCATGTATGTGCGTGCATGTGTATATAGATGTATGTATAAACACATTTGTATATTATGTACTTGTATACCAATATGACCATTGCATTACATCTATGCATACACACAGGAAAGATATGTACATACTGTAGATACATTTGCTTTGACATGAAACATCTCCCTTCTTCTCCCTGAGAAATTCAAAATCATTTTCTAAGACTTTAAATTATTTTTTCATTGTCATTGAGTTATAGATAATAAAGAAAAATGGAAATGAATTGAAATGAGTGCCCCAAAATAATAATTTTGAAGAGAAAATCAGGACATGTTTTTAAAATGTATTCAAACAAAAATATCTATCTACATATCTATCTATCCATCTATTTATCTATCTACCTACCTATCTATCTACTTTTTAAAAGTAGCAAATGCACTGTGGACAATAAAAGGCCAGAAATCTGGACAGTGCAGAACACAGTAGGGTGTCAATGTGATCAATTTCATCTTTATTTTTTCCCATAGAGATAACTTCATGTCAGCTACAAAAGTTATGAAATGCTTAATTAGATGTGTATTTTCAAACCAAACCATAGTATAGAATAAACAGTTTTCTCATTGATGTTTTTTTAAATGAGTTACCATAATTTCACATTTATGTAATAAATGTACCACATATAAAACAAAATACAGAACAACAGTAGAGAAACTAATACCATTAACAGCATGAAATTGATTTAATTTTTTTTAAAGACAGATGAAATCTCTAGGCACAGTTTTAGGCTTTAAAGAGGACACAGAGGCAATAGGTTAGTGTGCACAGTTCTGTACAAAAATACAGTCTGAATAAATTACATCGCTAGTCATAAGATTAGACTTCACTTACCAGTCATTTCATTGCATGTTTAATAATATACAATTACATGCTAATCCATATATATCATTTATATTTCAAATACATGTCTCTCTATATTTATGTCTTTAAAATTTACATGTTGAACTTACAAAAGCTAAAACATAGTTGTGCAAGAAATCCAAGAGAGGTGCTTTGTACAGGTCAGCACCGGACGGAATACGTTAAGCTTTAGAAATACAAATAACTAGCCCTGCTTGATGTGTGTGTGTGTGTGTGTGTGCGTGTGTGTGTGTGTGCATGCACACATGTGCATGTGCATGTAACTGGAAGATAAAACAATGGATTTGTGCAAGGGAAATAATTCTGCTTGTAAGAGAAAATAAAATAAGACTAAAGTAGAGCAGACATGACATGAATAATGTAGATAAGTATTTTTGTTGTATTTATTCTGAAACATAAGCATATCATTTGGGGTGCATAGAAACCTCAAGGTTTTCTATTTTGCACTGAACTTGTGGGTAAATACTAAAATATTTCTAAATGTTGGTAGTGGTAGAAATAGAACTTGGGGCTCTTCATTGGGAAGATAAATAAAATATATATCTATATATTAGGAAACTCTTTACCAGTAATCTGAAACTATGTACGCCTTAGCCCACAACATGTTCTCTGTCATTTCTGGCTTGTCATATTGACAGAGAATGAACTCTTGATAAGAAGCGTAGACATAATATTGGTCTAACAGCACACTGTATCCTCTTGGATGACTAATTGCCTTACTGATTGATGCCAACACCACAGGACTGTTCTTCCATTATTTGAGAATAAAAAAAGAGGCATCCTCTCGCCATAGAGGGGGGTTGTTGTTGTTTTGAGTAGCCTAAATATCACTACAAAGTTTGTGTTCTTCATGCTGCTCAATGATGATATCTAATTAGCTGTAAAGCTCTCTATGCCAGAGACAGTAGTATTTCTGAGAAAACTGGTTCAAAAGATTTTTGAATGCCTTTCACGATAATCAAACTAAATTTTCCTCCCATCTCTTCAAACCCTTCACAGAATCACACATTTTCCAAAGAATGACAGCCTCAGGCACTTTTAACCAGTTTGGTTGATTTTGATGAAACTAAGGCTGAGCTTTCCACTTCCCATTTTTTATTTCATTTGTGTTTTTATGAGACGCATACTAGAAAATTCAACAAACAGAAGTTCTGTATTTAAATAGGAAAGTAGAGAGTTGCAGTGGGTGGAGTTTTTGTTGTTGTTTTGGCAACAGTGCTTAAATAATGACAAGCTGGAAGCAGGGGCCCTGTTTTGTGAGCTGTGACCAATGCATTTAATACTAGAGATGTAGTCATGCTGTTAATGGATTCTGCAGTCCCTCTGTAACCAGGAACACAACAGCACACTGGAGCATTTTAAAGGATTTTCATTGTCTCTTCCAGCAAGAGGGCCAACTAGGACATATCATTTCCATGTCTTCGTTAAGAAAAATAAGTATTTTAACTTTTATATTAGAACTGTATATGTGATATAAAAATATGTTTATAATTAAGTACCCAAATTAGAAAGCATTAAACAGAAATAAACATAGCAGTTTGTAACACGGACTTTGTCATAAATCTACACTTTCTTCTGTTGGCACTTCCCTTAACTTAAACAGTCTATGAAGGATTAAAATTGGGGCACTTTAAACACGTTAGAATAGCTGAAGGCATGAAATCATCAGCCAATTGGTTACATTCAGAGGACAATGTGATTATCAGATGAGCCCTAGTCCTCTACTCTTAGCCTATATATAATTCTCTCTGCTTTTAAGAAACAAAAGCACCTAGATATTTGAGATTCCTGAAATTAAAAGAGCAGCTTCTATTTTTAAGGGCTTTAAAGAAAAAAATATATATATAATCTTAATACCTACTCTTGTTTGAACTACTTTAGGACCTCATTTTATAATTCACCCGATTTCGGTTTAACATTCTGTTTATCCATCTCAATGAAAATTCCCCTGATAATGACATCTTGACGGGAGCAAAAAGCAAATGACTTAAGTAGATGTATTTTGGCATGTCAGCTAAGAGGTGGGTATCAGCCTAAGATGCTTAAAAAGGTGCACAAGGTCAGTGCTGAAACCACTTTGCTACAGGAAATATTAGGTTTTATATGTAATAAACATCTGTGTGCAAGGGAGTTGGGATATGTATCATCATACTAAATGATCATTTTCTATAAAAATAATTAGACTAGTTACATGTGCACATTTCTTTACTGCAATGTTTGTAAAATGATTGAGAAATTATTTAGGACAAATGCAACCCATGCATTTTTTCGTTCTACTTGCCTGGGGGAAAAGGAGAGGCCCTCCATTTCCCCTTTTGCTAGTTATGGCAGAGGCACAACTCCTAACCACATAATTCAAAGCAAATGTCTCCAAGTCTTGACTTCCCTTCTCTGCCACAACTAGCAGGGAGATGCTGATTGCCAATGTCTATACTCCCATCACTTAGAAGATTCTTGAATGTGGAATTTGAGTCATTAACCAGTCACATTCACTACTCCCATTAGATACTAAAGAGAAGCTCATTCTTCAAGAAATTATTAAGCAAGTGACCAAGGACCAATGCAGTGACTGGTTAGGATAAGCTTGCAAAAGAAGACTATTGACAGCTGAATCCTCGTCCTTGTTAAGAAACTCTGAAATGGAGCTTCTGCCAACTGCTCCCGTGCAGGCAAGAGGAGATGTGGGAATTTTTTTTTTCCTCACTAGTTTTTGGACAATGGGCTGTCATATAAATCCTTCATTTGTCAAGTAAAATGACATTAACATATTGGAAGCTTGCAGCATTTGCTTAGGTTTTATCAGCTCTCTTAATTTCTGCAGGTCCCCAAAACATATGTAAAAGTTGTTTTTAATGTCAGCAGCCAAAGGGCAGAAGATTGTAAGTCAACAGATCAAACTGCTTTGATGCTCCTCAAGTGTTCTAGAAAACCATAAGTTAGAAAAGATGTAATAATCCTTTGTTTATGTTTTCTTTGGAGACTGTTGTTTCTAGTAGTAGTCTTCATAGTTCTTTGGGTTCAGGCAATAAAGGATGGCACCCCCAAATGAAAATATGGTTGCACCCCAAGCCAGACCATAACCCCAGTTGAACTCATGGTAAATTTTCAGGCTCACGGTTTCAATGAACTTGATTGGGTAGAGGACAAGGCTGCACACCTGTAGAACAACTGAAAGAAAACCAATCTGAATTAGGACAAGGTGTTATAAGCTTCCAAGAAACACATCTTAAAAAATAGAAAAAAAGTTGAAATAGTGTACTTTTTATCCAATAAAACATTTGAATTTATTATACAAATTTATCTGATATTGACAAATACCAAAATATGTGAGTTAATCAAGCTGGTACAATCATTATAATATGTCATGCTTAACATGAAATTATTCGTCTTTAATGGAGAAATATTTGTTGTTCTTGTTCAGTCGTGTCTGATTCTTCATGACCCAATTTGGAGTTTTCTTGGCGAGGATACTGAAGAGACTTGCCATTTCCTTCCCCAGCTCACTTTACAGATGAGGAAACTAAGGCAAACAGGGTTAAGTGGCTTGTCTAGGGTCACACAGCTAGTAAGTGTCTGAGGTCAGATTTGAACTCAGGTCTTCCTGACTCCAGGCCCAGTGCTCTATCTATTACGCCACTTAGCTGCCCAAACAAATATTTAATAAAAATAATAATAATAACAAGCATTAATATGGCATTTTAGAGACTGCAAAATGCTTTACAGATATTGTCTCATTTTATCCTTAAAACAACTCTGAGGAATCAGTGTTATTATAATCCCCATTTTATAGATGAAGTTATAGATGAGACAGAAGTTATGACTTGCTCATGGGAATATAACTAAAATCCCATCTCCTAGAAGAAACCTTCCCAAGCCCCTTTTAGTTCTAGTGCCTTTCCTCTGTTAATCATTTCCTCTTTACCTTGTACATAACTTCCTTTGCAAATATTTATTTGCTTGCTGTCTCTTCCATTAGATTATAAATTCCATGAGGGAAGAGACTGTATTTTGTCTTTTTATATATCCTCAGTGCTTAGCACAGTACCTGACACATAACAGGTATTTAGTAAATGTTTATTGATTGATTGATAGCATCTGACTCTAGAGATGAACCCAGGTTTTTTTTTTTTTTGTATGTTTGTTTTTTAGGCAATTGGGGTTAAGTGACTTGCCCAGGGTCACACAGCTAGTAAGTATCAAGTGTTTGCTCTGGGGCCAGATTGGAACTCAGGTCCTCCTGACTTCAGGGCCGGTGTTCTATCCACTGTGCCACCTAGTTGCCCCTAAGGTTTTTCTACCTATAGCAGGCCTGGTACTCTATTCACTGTGCCACCTAGCTATAATTGTGAATTATCCTCTGGGGGAACTACCAATGCTGATCAGTAATTTATCTTTGATTTATAGAGTTACATGTAATTATTTATAATCTATTCATATATTTATATGCATGTACACACATGCATATATATATATTTATTTATATATATGTATAATTTACATAGTTAGGAGCATGGGGCTCCAACACTTAACCATACCATAAAGTTACAGCATGTCAGAGTCAGGACTAGAAGTCAGGACTTTCTAGTTCCAAAGCTAGCCCACTATTCACTGGGCCACAATGCATCTTGGAGAAAGAAATACTACCATTATCAAACATACTGTTGGTACTTCTGAGTAGGCAATTCTCACTTCTGGTTTTGCCCCTTCACAATGTCTCCAATTATCTCAGATAGTGTGAAATTTTAAAAACAAAATTAATTTTAGTTCACATCACATTTTAAAATAACGATTAGTCATTCCTAAACCTGTTTTAGGTGAAGGAAGTGAGTATCAAGGTTTTTGCATTGCATACCTTCTCAACTCACATAGCTACTACATTGGCTCAGGCCTTCAACACCCCTTGCCTGGATTAGGGAAACAGCTTCCAGATTGGAGTGATTGTCTTAAATATCTCACCAATGGAGTCCATTCTACACATCCTACACTACTGCTTAAGTGCTTTTCCTGAAACACCGATCTGACCATGTGACTCCTCTACTCAGTAACTTTAAAGGTTTCTCTTTTCTTCCAGGATCAAAATAGAAGCTTCTCTGCTTATCTTTGAAAGCCTTTCAAAATTTGGTCCTAAGTATCCCTCTAGCATCATTGGACATGCCTTCTCATATATAGTACAATCTGGGCAAAATGGCCTTTTCTCTGCTCCTTACCTTTTCCAGACCTTTGCACTGGACATCCTCCAGGCCTGAAATGCATTTATTTCTTCCTTATGTTTGTATTATAAAATGCCTTTCTTCCTTTAAGATGCAGCTTATTCACTATCTTTTACAGGAAGTCTTTCCTGATCTTTTCAACTGCTAGTGCTCACTCTCCCAAAATATGTTGTACTTAACTACTTTTGATTTATTCTCTTTATAGTCATACATATACACATATGAATATATGTGTATATGTACATATATTTTCTTATTATCCCATTGGTATATAAGCTCCTTACAAGTAGAGATTTTTTCACTCATTTAATTTGTATGCATAGAGCCTAGCACAGTGCCAGGAATGAAGGAGAAGCTTAACAAATACTGACCTGATTGCTAAGGTATGAAGTACAGCAAAAAGTTCCTGCACTTATTTTATGCTATTCAGAAATTAAGGAGCTCAAATTCATTCTCAGGGAACAAAACCAAACTGCTTAGGCTATCACATAACTTTCTATTATTGCTCATTCAGACCTCTCTCATCTCCTCTTTTGAAGCTACCTCTCTGCATTTCAAACCAAGACAATCCATTTAATTGGTTTCCCAACATAAATGACTTGCAAAATTCCGACCTTAATGCCTTTCTCCATGTTCATCCCCTTCTTTGAAATGTCCTTACCTTTTCTCTTTGTGATTTTTGCCTCTTACCTACCTCAAAACCAGGCTTCAAACCCACCTTTTCAGGAAACCTTCCTGATGTCATAACTCCACATTCTTTCTTCTTCTACACATTACTTTATTCTTGTTGATTTTATTAATTGTACTTAAATGGAAGGGGCAGATTTCTTCATGGAAAATAAGATCCTCTCTCCAATCTAAGCATTTACTCAAAGTACAAATCAAATCTTGTTTGTGTTAATGAAATGCTCTTAAGCAAATTTTAGATTTTCTATACGCTAATGATGCAAGATCATTCTTTGAATAATTCTAGTAAGAATGTGTTAAAATAAAAAAGGACAATTATAAACCAAAAAAGTGGTTCATGTGTTTTGCATTATCTACTAAAGCCTAAGCAGTATGCTTGTATTTTCTTTTTTTTTTATTATTCAATTCAATGTGTACTTAAATGTACATATTACGGCCTAGCTTTGTCCTAGTTAAAGAAAAATGGAGGAATAGAACTTCCTGATAAAGTCTCTGCCCTCCAAAAAATTATGTCTCTCTCCCTAAAAAAAGACCAGATGATGGCAATGATTCCGTTGAGAGACATTATCAGGCTCAAACATCCTCATCACTAAGGGTCCCATCCTGATACAGCATTTGCTTCATAAGGTAGCAAGTAGGGTGGGGAGGAGGGAAGGTAAGAACCTTTTTGTTCTTTGCTGTTCTGTCTATGAATGAGGAGTCCTTTTTGATGTTACCCTTCTGAAGACTCTTAAAGATCTACAGTTACATGAGTTCATTGTGAAATTTACACCACACGCCCTGGAATGGCTGCTCTCCATCCTGTCCCGTTTCTCACATCAACTAGGTCATCTCTCTTACAAGAATCATTTCTGTTCTTGAATGCTAACTCTGTCCCATTACACTTCTATGAGGGTGCCGTCTCTCCAAGTCCACAAATTGTTTAAATCAGCGGCTTCTGCTAGGAAGTCCTATGCACTGACCAGTGAAATAGCTTGCATATGTACTTTAATTGCTGGTATACTTTTGTTATAATGAAATCTTTGCACTACATATGTGAAAGTCATGCTTGTTTATGATTTTTAAAGAAACACAAATCTTTCTGAAATAAATTCACAATGTAAGTATTCAGTAAAGCCTTGTTAACTGTTTCTTTTGAGAGCCCATAAATCTCAGGAAAGTAAATACACACACACACACACACACACACACACACACACAGACATAAATTGCATTGGAAAAGAGTAGAATAGGAAACCAAACTGTAATCTAGCAATGGACACAGTTCATTAACCTTTACAGAAGGGATAACATTATGAGAGGAAACCTGTTTAATCATACGAGAGTGCTGAATCTTCTATTCAATCAAATTGTCAGCAAAAGGTCGTCATTCCCATTGTGATTTATGTTCTTGGAAAGTCTACCATAAGATTTCAGAATGAGTTGTCACCAAAGTGGCAACACTTTTTATAACCTGCAAGCAATTTTTTTTGTTCTGAAAAAAAATAAATTCAGAAATTTATCTTTTATCAATGGGAAAAAGTGGATGGAATTAATTTTTTGAAGAAAGGGCTAAAATCCATTACTTTCTGTAAAGTATAGCCTCAGGTCATCAAAAAATTTATGTCTAACCAGGTAAGCAGTATTCTCAATATGACTCCTTGGAAGAGTTCAACCTGGCCACTCAGACACCATCGAGAGTAAGTGGAACGGGCAAATTTCTTTCTAGAAAATAAGACCCTCTCTTCAGTCCAAGTAATTATTCAAAATACAAATCAAATCTTGTTTGTGCTTATGAAATGCTCTGGCACAAATTTTAGATTAATATGATGACCATTATTTAAATAATTCCAGTAAAATGTATTAAAATTAAAAATAAACAAATCAGAGTTTTCCAGCTGACTTTGTGCTTCTATGTGAAAGAGGGCAATTTCACAGCCTGTACTTTTAAAGTTAGCAGGGAGTCAATTTTGATCAAATATTAATTATAATTAGAAGCATGGTGATGATGGGCTGGCATTATACAGGAAGAAATGGATTGAATTGCTGATTCTGACAGATATAGGTGACCCTGGGCAGGTTACATAACCTTGTAGTACCACAATAGAACTCTCTTAGACTCATACTTGAGTTGTTCATCTGAACCAGTGAAGGGAATTTCTCATACCAGGAAATTCCCCCACATCAATGAAATCACTTACTGGCTACCACTACTACCTTCAAAACAAAACAAAACAAAACAAAAATCTTATAACAAAGATGTATTTCTTTAGTTATCAAGTCCAATAGAAA